AAAAAAAAAAGAAAAAAAAGGAGAGGCTGGGAGCTTACGTCACCAGGGTGCTTCGCCAGCCTGAAAACGACCCTCAGCCCCTCACCAAGACTGGCCAGGCACCCAAGTGGGGACCCCCCCACCCTGAAGGGGGTGTAGCCAGCCTGTAAACAGCCAACAGCCCCTCACCCAGGCTGGCCAAACCTCCATGGGGTGAGGGTCCCCACTGGGGTGGACATCCTCCGAGAGGTCCCACACTGCAAGAGGGCATAGGCCAGGCTGAGGAATCCCCTGAGTGCACAAATTTTTGTGCAACGGGCCTCTAGTGTATAGAATAAAGTCAAAGCAGCTCAGCTAAAGGCAAAGATCTGAATTGAGAGTGAATCAGCACCCAAGAAAAAGAGTTCACAATTCATATCCAAACAAGTAAACTGCCTGTTAAAACAAAAATAACATAGCCATTGCAAAATAATAGAATTCAGAATCTCTATATCTGAATATAGAGATTGTATATGCTATGTACCAGACATTATGCTATGTTTTGGGAATATAGCAGTAAGATAAAGTTCTTGCCTTCGTGGAGGTTACAGTTAAATGAAGAAGACAGGCAAGAAAGTATAATGAAATTAATAAATGTTTTTTGTTTTTTTAAAAATATATTTCATTAAGTTTTTACAGAGAGGGAGAGAGATAGTCAGAATCATCGATGAGGGCCTAGCCGGCTTGGCTCAGTGGATAGAGCGTCAGCCTGTGGACTGAAGGGTCCCAGGTTGGATTCCGGCCAAGGGCACATGCCTGGGTTGCAGGCTCAATCCCCAGTGGAGGGTGTGCAGGAGGCAGCCAATCAATGATTCTCTCTCATCATTGATGTTTCTATCTCTCTCTCCTTCTCCCTTCCTCTCTGAAATCAATAAAGAAAAAAAAATATATATATATATATGTATATGTATATATATATACACACACACACATACATAAAAGAAACATGGATGAGAGAGAAACATCGATCAGCTGCCTCCTGCACACCTCCCACTGGGGATATGCCTGCAACCAAGGTACATGCCCTTGACCGGAATCAAACCTGGGACCCTTCAGTCCACAGGCCGATGCTCTATCCACTGAGCCAAACTGGTTAGGGCTTAATAAATGTTTTAATAGCAAGACCACATGGAATACAGGATAGGGACACCTCAATATAATGTACATAAGGCTTTCCAGAAGCTTTCAGCCAAAGGAGTAGAGTATTCCAGGCAAGGCTTGGAGATAAAATGGAGGGCACAATCAAGAACTAAAAGAAGCCCAGTATAGTTGGTGTATATATGGTAAGAAAAGAGTGACAAGAGATGACACTAAGGAGGTCAGCAGGGACCAAAGTGATTGAAGAGCCAAGATACAGAGTCTGAACATAATTAAGAGCATTTAGAAGCCTCTGAAAGGTATTCAAGCAGGAAAGTGATATATTTCATTTTTCATTTTAGAAAAGTGCTCTCGTGGCTCTGTAAATAGACTGAAGAAAGGAAAGAAATACAAGTTTAGAAGATGTTTTCAGAATTTCAAGTGAGAAATAATACTTCATCTGGTTTAGTGGAAGAACAGAGGCAGAAGTAAGGAGGCATTTACAATATATTTAAAAAGTTGAATTGACTGGACTTAAAAATGTTACAGAGCAGTGTTGGGAAGAAAGATTATAAATCCAGTTGTAGTGATGCTGAACTAAAGATCTTTTTGAAACATAAAAGTAGTTATTTTCAGTGTCCAGGTAGATAAACCTACATTTTATGAGTGAGATCTATGCTGGAGATAAAGATTTGGGTTTCATTAGCTCATAAACGATATCAATGCAATGTCCTTCGTAGATTGGAAAATGGAAGACATTAACACTTTACACAAAAAAGAAAAACAATGGGTTAAGAGAACTTTTTATATTGGAATTTCTAATTTCAATGGCAACATTATATAAATTCCCAGCTTACACTAGATAGGCCTCTGTAATATAGTTTTCTCATCTAAGCAACAGGATAATTCTAATTGTCAACATCCTCCTGTCTGCCGCCCCAGCCCTGATGGGCCCCAATCAGGGGCAGGGCCGGCCAGCCAACCTCCTGCAGCTCATCCCCACCCCCCGCTACTCCCAGCCTTGCTGGGCTGGCCAGGCTGAGGGACTCCACCTTGCATGGATTCGTGTACCAGGCCTCTAGTTGCCACATAAGCTTAGAGGCCTGAATGAGTTTTGAAAGTTAGGAGAAAGTTTTTATAAAACCAAGTAAATAACTGTAAGAAAAATATGTTGGCTTCAGTAAAAGATTATTTTCATATTTAAGGAAAAAAGTATTCACATAATATCTCCTTTCCTGCTTTAAAATTTAAATGTCTACAAAGTAGGGAAAAAAAGAGGGTCATAAATGTCACTTAAATATAATTTTTTCACACAATTAATATTACCTTTAAATTTAATGGAGTTCCAAGTGACAGAAACACAGAAGAAAGAAGCAACTAAAAAATATATACATGCTCAGAAAAAAACATAAAATATTTTATTTCAAGCTTACCTTGCTCCTAAATTTTCAATGGTTATATATTCATCCTTTCTCACAACTTCAAACTGCAAGTGATGGAAAAAAATAGCCCTAAATAGTTCAATTTTCAAAATTCTTTAATATTACTAGTTAGCCTTAACACTTGAAAAAAGACAATGAGAATGAAGCTATAGCAAATATAAAACAACACAGAAGTGACAAGGTAAGCTATAAACAACTTTAGTAAACAATAAACTAGAGTTGATTTTTTAAAAAAATTCTACTTTATATCACTACAGGATTTAAATATCAATATGAAATACAAAAAGAGTGTTACTAAAGATAAAGAAATAATATCTATTTTTATTTGCAATTTTGGTCTATTTATAAACTGAAAATTCAAGCATTTCATTTATTTAAAAATAAAATGAGTATCATTTGAGAACATTTTATGTAACATGTACTATATGTAATTTCTATAGATATTTTCGTAGAAAGATATGAAAGAGGGTCAAAAAGTCTAAAAGTATTTTTAAACTTAGATGGCACAGATCAGACTATCATCACTGGTTCATGACAGACTTTTCATTGGTACAGGCATAGCCTGCTTTATATGTGTCTGTTTGTGTGTATCTTTACTTTTTAAATTTTCTTATTCTTAAGGATCACTTAAATACTACTTTGGAGAAATCAAAGCAACAGAAAGGTCAGAAATTAAGTCACCATTAAAGAGAAAATGGCAAAAATACTATTGCTATGAATCCCAAATGTTTTGAAATCCGAATGCCATTCCAATGAAAGAAAAATAAGAAAAAGATACTTACCAAAATTTTAACAATTCCAGGTTCATCACATTGTAGCATCCTTACCATGTCACCTGTACATCCTTCCTTCAAACATTTTTTCCCACTAAAACTCTAAAGTTATCAATAGAAAAAAATAAATTATCAAAACAAAAAACATTACAATCAATAAAAAAATACTGATGTGCAAATCTAATTATTTTTTTAAAAAGTTAGCAGATGTTTCTAGATGATAAAATAAAAGATGTGAAAAATCACTTGAGAGTTAGCTGTTCAAAAATAGTCTATCTCATGTATCAGTGGATTTAAAATGCATAATTGCACTTTTCTCTAATAATTTCTACTTCAAAATCTTTAAGTAGCTATATTATAGCCTAAGAAGTAGTACCTAAGCACAGGGAAAGGAACTTCAAGTGACATGTACTAATTAGGTAAATGTATACAGAAACACTGAATTTCTATTAGATATATAAGGATTACAGGGAAAAATGAAAGAATTAAAATGTTGAGTATTTCCTCTGATTCTGACCTTAATTTCCTCTTGTTAAGTCACTTAAATTTTCTTTTAGTTCTTTTTCTAAAGTTGAGCAATATTGATTGCCCTAACAATCAAAGATTATAAAGAACACATGCTACTTAAACAAATGAATAATGCTAATGCAAGTACATGTTTTAATTGTTAATCTTCACAACAACCTTATGAAGATATTACTATCCTCACTATATGGTTTAGAAAAAGGAATCTCAGAGCAGTTAAATTAACAGCCTAATGTAAAACAAAACAAACAAAAAAACAAAGAAAACACTATAGTGGTTCAATCTGGACTTAAACCCAGATCTCCCAAGTCCATACACAATGCTCTTTCTATGCCACGATTTTTTAAAATTGTTTTATTGCTTAAAGTATTACAAAGAGTATTACATATGTCTCCTTTTTTTTCCCCGCCCTTGACAATCCCCTGGCCTCCCCTACCCCTCAGTGTCTTATGTCCATTGGTTATGCTTATATGCCATACAAGTC